TTTCAGTCTCTATCAAGGTTACTTTAAGCCTTCATATCTTTGGTATTTGCCTTGAAGTCATTATGTTTGGACAATCTTGGTCAAGGCTAGAAAGCAAGTTCTCATGTCAGAGCCTTCATAAAGAACCTTTTATAAAATATAAAAATCCATCTTGACACACTTTTGCCGACCTCAGCTGTGGCAACGCAGTGCAAAGTATAAATGGCCTATTGCCTTTGGGGTCAGACACCACAAGAGGGGTCTCTGCCTCCCCATCCCACCAGTTATACTGCCACAGGTTGAGTAGATGGGGTTATTTAACAGTCTCTTCTCATATTACCTCCTAGGTTTCCACTCTTGCCTTTGCACAAACATTTCCATTTTGGCGCCAAATTAGCTTCTCCCATGCGCAGGAGGCTGTCCAGCTTTCTGATCACAGAATCATAAAAAATCATCGAGTCCAACCATTAACCTAACCCTGCCATCCACCACTAAACCATATCCCTAAGCATGATCCCACCCTCCTCCTCAAGATACACTCCAGACCCAACGGCTGGCCGCTGCTAGCTGTGTTGAAGATTTTCCTGTTTATCACACCTTATCTGACAGAATTCTAGGCGCTGTTTAAAGCCATAATGATACATGGACTGTTATGCACTGCTTAATGCTACCCATTGGGGAAGAAACATTAAGACAGATTTAGTGCAAAGTTCCTAACCAGGGAGAATCTGGTGAGGGGGAAGATCACCCCCCTACCAGTTCAATCTTCGGCCTCTCTTCCCCAGCTGCTAAGACCCACTCATTTTAACTTTATGTCTATGGGAGACCGTACTAAGTCCACTACGTAATTGCAAATAGGCAGCCAGATGCTATTGCAGGAGAAACAAATATGTCATTGCCTGCACAATGAAATACATCGCCAGGTCGGACTTCTAAATACTTTCAGTCTCCACTAAACTCTGCAAGACTGAACCAAAAGGGTCCTATGGTCTGAATAACTTAATATCATTACCAAATTGTCATTTAACGTTAATGCTTAGCAACTGTATACTGTTTTTTATTTCTAGAGGGCATAGCAGCAATTTATTTGACCAGCAAATACTAAGAATGACTAACGATACAGAAGAAAATAAAAATCAAAGAACATTTCCAACACTAAAGCAACACTAAGTAAGGAAAGGCTAAACTTAGCTTACTTCTGTGCTGCTTACTCTTCTTACAATATGCCAGTATCTATTAAAATCTGTTTCATTCATACCTGTGCAATAAATCAGAACAACATTGCCCAACCTGTTTTTAAATGAAAGTATGGACAAAATATTTCTTAAAAAATCAGTTAGTTTTGAGTTAAAGGTAAAGTATATTGAAAACCTGTAAATTACTTCCCACCTTTCCCTTTTTATATTTAAGACTACCCGGTTCAGGGTTTTTTAATTTTATTCAACACTCTCTGGTACCTCGTCTTGCAAAAAAAATCCGTAGACAAATAACAAATGCAAAACATGCTACCATATTGGTGGCTACGTGACTAGGCTAGTTTTCAGGCTGGGCAACTCTTCAAGAATCATTTTCCCTACTACACGACAGAGTTATTTATCAGAGAAGTCAATGCAGCCAGAAGACAACAGGAAGGGCTCACGCTAAAAAGAAAGGCAGCATCAAATCACAGACCGGCCCTGAGAGCTCATACCACGTTTCAAACCGTTTCTGCCTGACGTGCTATAGCGTTTCTCTAACAAGAGGAGCACATTGCCAGCCACCGAAAGTTTGGGCGCTTGTTTTTTTCTCTTTCTTTTCCTCCCCGAATTTGCGAGGTCTGCGAGGTTTTAGTTATGCTTTATAATCAGACAACACCGGAGCGCTGAGCTACGGCAGCTTCTTGTTTGTGGGAGTCGCCTTCAAGCCGGACCATTTCGCTTTGGGGGTTTCTACCGGAGC